CATGCTCAGTGAGTGCTTTATCTTCTGAGCTGTATCTACAGACCTTTTGTTAATTTTTTTTTTTTTTTTTTTTTTTTGGTTTTTCGAGACAGGGTTTCTCTGTGTAGCTTTGTGCCTTTTCCTGGAACTCACTTGGTAGCCCAGGCTGGCCTTGAACTCACAGAGATCCGCCTGGCTCTGCCTCCCGAGTGCTGGGATTAAAGTTGTTAATTTTTTTAAAAAAATTTATTAAATGTGTGGTTTGTGTAAATGTGTTCAAATGCCCAAGGATTCCATGGATCCTAGGAGATGCCCTAGAACTAGAGTTACAGGTGGTTGTGAACTGTCCAGTGAGGGTGATGGGAACTGAACTCAGTTTCTTGTGGAACAGCAGCAGGTGCTTTTAACTGCTGAGCCATCTCTCCAGCCCTAGACCTATCATTTTTTGGATGGCTGTTGTAAATGGTATTAATTTCTTCACAATTGTTTTCCGATGGTTCACTATTGGTACCTAGAATGCTGCTGCTTTTGTATGTTGATTCTGTATCCTTTAACTTTACCAAATTATGTGCTCTAACAATATTTCTGATGGAGTCGAGAATAATGTTTCTAAGTTTTTCTTCCTCTTGTCCTGTCTGGATGCCCTCCTTTCTGTCTCTTGCTTAATTTCCGTGCCTTAATTTCTGGCTTCTTATACTGTGTTGAGCAACAGTGCTGTTCAGATCTTACAGAAAACTTCTTAAAGAAAAGTTTCTTACCATTCAGGGTGGTGTTTGCTTTTGGTTTGTCATAGATTATGTATATGTGTGTGTGTGTGGGGGGGTGGGTGTGGGTGGGGGTGGGGGGGTGTGTGAACTCACTCTGTAGACCAGGCTGGCTTTGAACTCAGAGATCCACCTGTCTCTGCCTCTCAAGTGCTGAGATTAAAGGTGTGTGTCACCACTGCCCACCAAATTATTTTTATAACTAATTTATTTAGAATTTTGTCATGAAGAAATGTTGAATCTTATAAGATGGTTTTCTTGCCTGCCCTCAAATGATCACACAACTTTTCGTGTTTGGTCTAGAGATGTGATATATCACTTTATTGATGATTTCCCCCACCTCCTCCCCTGCTTCCTCTCCTCCTCTTTTCTTTCTTATTCTTCATCTCTTCCCTCCTTTGCAGTATAGCTTCATGGACACTCGGCAGATACATCACCACATCTCATCTGTGCCACCGGACCCAGAGTACCATTTGGAAATGAGCTGTTGGGTTGACTCTGTTAACACTTTATTTAGAATTTTTTTGCAGCTGTAGTCACAAGGGATGCAGTCTGTGTTTTCTTTTTGTTGTGTGCTTGTCTGGCTTTAGTATTAGTGTAATTCTGGCTTTATAAAATGACTTTGGAACTATTCCCTCTCTTTTGAGCTTCGGATACCTGTAATCCTTTTACAGATGGAGGCTCAGGAGTTCAAGGCCGACCTGAGCTACATGAGACTCCACCATCCTCAACTCTAATAACTGATGCTCTTTAACTCTTTATAGAGTGGAGCAGTGAACCATGGGTTTCTCTTTGTTGGAAGTCTTTTTTTTTTTAATTACCGATTCACTCTCATTCCAAATTATTGGTCTGTTCAGGTTTTCATTCTCTTGATGAACTGTCTTCTCTGTTATCATGATTCTGTCTCTAAGGCAGGCTGACATGAAGCCCGTTTTGTCTGAAAGGAGTCTGTGGTATCCTTCTCTTTCATTGTTTACTTGGAGTAGCTTTTTTTCTTCTTCCTTCACTTTCAAGCTATGCCCATAAATCTGCACTTAAAGGTCTAATTTGGGTAGCCAGTAACTGAACTTAAAAAACCCATCCAATCAGGCCTGGAGAATTGACTCATCAGTTAAGAGTATTCACTGCTCTCGAGAGGACCAGTTTGACTCCCATCGCCCACATGGGGCTCACAACAATCTGTAATTCCAGTTCAGGGGGTGTCTAATGTCCTCTTCTGGCCTCCATAGGCACCAGACACACATCTAGTACACAGACACATGCAGACGAAATACCTATATACATAAAATAAAATAATCTAACAAGCAAAACAAAACAAAAACTCCAAACCCATTCATGGGTTCCGTGTTCTGGTTAAAGAGTGTAGTTGAACTGCACTTGGCACAGTGTTGGTGCACACTCCTGTTCTGTTCACTGTCTTCTGTCTGTAGTTCCTGCCCTCCATTCTGTTTCTTATTGTCTTGTTTGCCTTTGATCATTTTTTATAGCTATATATTTTGATTTCTTTCCTCTTTGTGTTTCTGCCGCAGATTTTTCTCTGTGTATCTGAGGCTGACATAAGACATCTTATAGTTAGAGCAGCCTATTTTGACGGATGACAATTTCACGCACATTAAAATAGACTACCCATTAACAGCTTCTTCCTCCACTTTCTATGTTGTTATTGTCACAATTGATGAACTAATATTCAACAAAAGTGCAAAAAATGTAACGGCGAGACTTTTCAGTGAATGGCAGTGGAGCTGGCAATCCAAAGCAAACCATTTTATCACACGTCATACAAAACTGATCCAAAGAACAGTCAATTTCTTATGAGATTTAACATCCAGTCACCACACTAGCAGTGCAACTCAGCATTACTGAGGAGAAGTGGAGACAGATATACAGATATGCACATGGAAATCTATGTGCAAATGCTTGCCATTGCTCTGTTACCAATCATGCCAAACTGGAGGCAATCTGGATGCCCTGAGCCGGAGGATGGAATAGCCAACTGTGGCATGCCCCTGCAGTGGGGTGCTCACCAGCAATAGGAGTGGGTTACTAATGTGTGCAAACAATATGGATAGATTTCAAGTGAACTATTCCAGGTGAAAGACGAAGTCTAAAGAGGCTTGCTACTAGGTAAGCCAGTCTTACAGCATAGGAAAGAACAGCTCGGACACAGGGGCAGGAAACACATGTGTGCTTTCCGGGGACTCCCAACGGGGAAGAACCAACTGTGAGGCATCATGAGGGGTTCCTTATCCTGATGGTGGTCATAATTATATGACTGGATGCTTGTCAAAACTCTAAAACTATATACTAAAACAGTTGAATTTTATTTTATGCAAAATTTACCCCCAATAAACCTGACCTAAAAGAACGCCATTGACTTCAGGACAAAGCTTCAGTGCCTTCCTGGGTGGTCAGTGAGTCTCCTGCAATGGGGTGGGGGTGGGGGTGGGGCAGAGACTGGTGTCCTGAATCCTCTGTGCTTTTCCTTCCAGGGGCTTCTCCTAGTTTGAAACCTGTAATACATCCCTGTCTAACTGGTCCTTGCTCTTCTTCTCTCTGCATTGCTATGCTGAGAGTCCTTGAAGGCACTGTGCCTGCTGCCCAGTCTTGTGCTCAGCAAACAAGTCTTTGTTGAATGAATGAGTACGTGGACAATAAATGGCTGAGTTCTATGGATAAATGTTGCACGCTTACAATGAGCATTTTAAAAAGACATTTTTCCTTGTAGGTTAACACAAAACTTTCTGGGTAGCAAGTTTTTCAGTACTAGGGACTAAACTACTCAGTGCTTTAAGAATATAGGACAAGTAATTTACCACTGAGCTATACCTCCAGCCTTGTAATTATAATTTTAATCCAATCATATAGATTATGGCCAAATTAGACTTTATCCTTTGTCCCTACAAAGAATTCTAATCTAAAAGGGTACCATGTCTACTCTTCTAGATATTATATTTGTGTTCTCCAATGTATCATCTTCTTTGCTGCCTTAGTAATTTCTCTGAAATACCATTTGGATTAAATCCAAATTTACTGCTCACTGACTTAATGATATACTCCTCTAGCTAGCAGCCTATTCAAATGATTGGGCTGGGGATGTAGCTCAATGGTAGACCAGCTGCCTAGCATGCCTGAAGTCCTGGATTTCATCCTTGACATTCTCTCTCTCTCTCTCTTTCTCAAAATGTATCATGAATCATGTCTTGGTCACTGTTCTGTTGCCATGAAGAGATACTGCAACCACAGCGGCTCTTATAAAAGAAAGCAGTTAACTAGGAGCTGGCTTACAATTTTAGAGGTTTAGTTCATTATCATCATGGCGGGGAGCATGGTAGTACTCAGGTCTCTGGAACAGTAAGAGAGAGCTACATCTCGATCTATTGGCTGAGAGAAAGAAAGAAAGAAACACTGGGCCAGGTGTGGGCATTTGAAAACCTCAAGGCTGGAGAGATGGCTCAGAGATTCTCTTCCAGAGGTTCTGAATTCAATTCCCAGAACCACATGGTGGCTCACAGCCATCTGTAATGAGATCTGGTGCCCTCTTCTGGTGTGCAGGCATACATGCAGGCATAACACTATATATATATATATATATATATATATATATATATATATATATATATATAAAATCTTAAAAAAAGAAAGAAAGAAAAAGAAAGGAAGGAAGGAAGAAAGAAAGAAAGAAAATCTCAAAACCCTCCAGGTATGGTGGTGCACAGGGTGGGGTTGGAGGAGGGATCTCTGTGTTGCAGGCAGATCTCTGTGTGTTCAAGACCAACCTGGTCTACAAAGTAAATTCCAGGACAGCCAGGGTGACACAGAGAAACCCTGTCTTGAAACAACAACAAACAAAGAAGAAAACCTCAAAATCCACCCCCAGTGACACACTTCCTTCAACAAAGCCATACCTCCTAATCGTTCTAACACTATCAAAGAGTTCCACTCCCTGGTGACTAAGTATTCAAATCTATGAGCCTATGGGGGCCATTCTCATTCAAACCACCACAAATCATATAGAAAACCATATCTTCTCCACATGATTTTCCCCAGTAGTCATGATCTCGTTCTCCTCCCTCTTCTTTTCAAGACAAATCTTATGATCTATCCCTATGCAGCCTTGAACTCCTGATCTTCCTGCCTCTGCCTTTTGAGTGTTGGTGTGCACCACCATGTCTGGCTATGGACTTCTTCATAGACAGGAGACTCCCAGGCTCTTCATAGGTGGGAAGAGGAATGTGGTCTTTGCCCCTTCTCTTTCAGATTGGCTCTTACTTCGGGGCCACCCTCTGTTCCGTGGACATGAATGATGATGACAATACCAACTTGATCCTCATTGGGGCCCCTCATTTCTACGACCAGACCCGAGGAGGCCAGGTGTCAGTGTGTCCATTGCCTAGGGGGGTGAGTGATGGGCCGGGTGGGGCTGGGTGTGAGGTGGACGGTTGCCGGGGCTTTGGGTCTGTCACTGTTTCTGTTTCGCAGCGGGCGCAGTGGCGATGTGAAGCTATTCTCCGTGGTGAGCAAGGCCATCCCTGGGGTCGCTTTGGGGCAGCTCTGACGGTGCTGGGAGATGTGAATGGGGACAAGCTGACAGATGTGGCCATCGGGGCCCCAGGAGAGCAGGAGAATCAGGGTGCTGTCTACATTTTTCATGGAGAATCAACAGTCAGCATCAGTGTCCCTCACAGCCAGGTAAGTCCCCACGGACCTTGCATAGTACTGACTTGTGTGATCTGGAGCCTCTGATTTAACTACCGGATCGGCTTTCCTTCACCTTAAAACAGTAACACCCTTCACAGATGCCTCAGGGAGTCTCCAGTCTAGATGAACTCTCTGTAACGGTAGGTGATGCCTTGGGGCACCCACACTCAACTTCATCCTGAGACCTGGGACTGTAGATGGCAAGACGCAGGTGTGAGGATGTTAAGTGCTCAGCACTGGCTGTGGAGCTGCAGTTAGGCCATTGGAGAGATGTATGATAACGCTGTCCACTATGCAGTCCTTCCTCTGGCCCCGTTCTGGCTGAGGGACCAAGAGTTCTGTTCTACCCAAAATCCTACGTCATAGGAAAGCCCTACAGTTGGACACTTTACAGAATCCCGCTGATCCTAGGGCTTTCTATGACATTTCTGAGTTGGGCTTAAAATTCTGCTATTGCTATATTAAAAGTCTGTGTGTGTTGCATGCATGTGTGCATATGTGTGTATGTCTGTGTGTGAGAGACCGATGGTGGAATACTCTACTCTTTTCAGTCACTTCTCCACCTTATTCACCCCCTCCCCCCTCTTTTTGAGACAGGGTCTCACTATGTAGCCTTAGCTGGCCTGGAATGCACTATGCAGACCAGGCTAGCTTCCAAACTCATAGAGATCCACCTGCTTCTGCTTCCAAAGTGCTGGGATTAAAGGCTCAGTCCCTTTCTTCATATTTTTTTTTAAAGTCTGTTAACTCCATATTTTTTAAAGATTTATTTATTTATTTATTTATTTATTTATTTATTTATTTATTTATTATGTATACAATGTTCTGCCTGTATGTTTGCCTGCAGACCAGAAGAGGGCGCCAGATCTCATTGCAGATGGTTGTGAGCCACCATGTGGTTGCTGGGACTTGAACTCAGGACCTTTGGAAGAAGAGCCAAAGATCTTAACCCCTGAGCTATCTCTCCAGGCCTCTTCATATTTTTGATGCTTTTAAAATTAAGTTTTATTTGCCGGGCGGTGGTGGCGCACACCTTTAATCCCAGCACTCGGGAGGCAGAGCCAGGCGGATCTCTGTGAGTTCGAGGCCAGCCTGGGCTACCAAGTGAGTTCCAGGAGAGGCGCAAAGCTACACAGAGAAACCCTGTCTCGAAAAACCAAAAAAAAAAAAAAAAAATTAAGTTTTATTTTAAAAATTTATTATTTTTATTTGTGTGTATGGCTGCATAAGTTTATGTGCACCACATGCCTGCAGGTGCCCACAGAGGTCAGAGGGTAGTGGATCCCTGGAGCTGGAGTCACAAGCAGTTGTAAGCTGCCTGATGTGGGTGCCAGGAATCAAACCCAGGTCCTCTTCAAGAGCAGTAAGTGCTCTTATGTGCTGAGCCATCTCTCCAGTCCCCACATGATTTTTTTTTGACATTTTCACACATATGTACAATACGTTCTGAACTCTCTTACCCTCCATCTCCCCTTCTCTCCTCCTAGCCTTCCTTCCTCCCTATGTAGCCATACTCACACGTTTTTGTTTTGATTTGAGATGCACTAAGGTTAACCAGGGCCATCTATGTGACCATTGTGGTGATATATTGTGTGCCCTAATAAACTGGCCTGAGGATCGGAGGACAGAGCCAGCTACTAGATCAGACATAGAGGCCAGGCAGTGGTGGCACACACCTTTAATCCTATCACTCAGGAGGCAGAGATCCGTCTGGATGTCTGTGAGTTCAAGGCCACACTGGGCTACATGAGATTAATCCAGTCTAGGAGAGAAACAGAGTTAGGCAGTGGTGACATACACCTTTTTTTTTTTTTTTTTGGTTTTTTCGAGACAGGGTTTCTCTGTGTAGCTTTTGCGCCTTTTCCTGGAACTCACTTGGTAGTCCAGGCTGGCCTCGAACTCACAGAGATCCGCCTGGCTCTGCCTCCCGAGTTCTGGGATTAAAGGCATGCGCCACCACCGCCCAGCTGATGTGACATACACCTTTAATCCCAGGAAGTAATATGGCAGGGCAGAGAAAGGTATATAAGGCTTGAGGAAACAGGAACTCGCTCTCTTTAGTCTGAGGATTTCGTAGAGGTAACAACTAGTGGCTGGCTGTGTCCTCTGATCCTCTGGCAAGTTTATTAGGGTACACAGTGTATTACCCCAGACCATGGGTTTGGAGCCCTCCACTGGCACCTGGTTAGGTTCACCATGCTCAACTGATGCCTGTAACTCCATAATTCCCACACTCTCTCTGTGCACTTGTTCAGTAGAGGACATGGCAGGCCCTCATGAGCCGCTTCTCTGTCGGTGATTGGCCGTTGACAGGCCCATTCTTGTCTGGACTCAGCGTTGGCAGGTGTATTTGCATTGAGTTCATTATTGGAATGGTTGCATCATGACCGGAAGATGACGTTTCATAGCTTTTCTTTCTATTTTCTGGTGCTTATATTCTTTCCAACCCCCCCTTCCATTATATTTCTGGAGCCTTAGTGGGGGAGGTCATATAAATTAAATTTTTAAATTGCATGTGGAGGTTGTGGGACAATGTGTGGGTCCCGAGGACTGAACTCAGGTCATCAGGCTTGGCAGCAAGTACTGTTGCCCGCTGAGGAGTCTCACTGGTCCTCCACCTTATCTTTTAAGGGACTCTCACTGAACCTGGAGCTTGCTGGTCCAGCTACAATGGCTAGCCAGTGAGCTCCCAGAATCCATCTGTCTCTACCCTCTAGTACTGTCATTACAGATGTGGCACTATGTTCAGCCTTAGTGTGAGTGCTTGGGGTCTGAACCTAGGTCCTCACACATGTGCAGCAAGCATGCTAGCCTCTGAGCTGGCTGTCTCCCAGTTCTATTCTGAAATTCTTAGTAGAAGTTAAGCATCTCACTGTGTAGCTCAGGCTGGCCTCAAGCTCAGCTGTATAGCCCAGGCTGGAGATTCTCCTGCCTCAGGCTTTTGGATGTGGGGTTTACAGCTGAGAGCCACCAGGCTTGGCTAATGATAGTTTTGAGTAATTGAACCCAGCATCTTTCTCCTATGCTGCATCTTGAAATTAAGAAGCTCACACCGATGACGGGTCATCCTGAATCCTGGCCCCAGAACTGGGCTCCTCAGCAGTGACTCTGTCACTGCTGCGTGAATTCCCTGCCTGTGGGGTCCTTGCAGTTTTGGCCTAACTTAACCATGCTGTGTTCTCCCCCAGCGAGCTCAGGCCATGTGGTCTCCCGGTCTCTGGTCTCTAGTCTTTTCCAGTCTCATATTTTCTTCTATTTCTTTAAAAAAAATTTTATGGTGTTAAAAATGCTCAAATACTTGACCACCCCTCTTATGGGACTTGAAATATATAGTCTAATACTTGTCCTGATCTAGCAGCTTCTAGGCATTGGTCTGCAATCCTCCGTGTTCGCCTCCTCCCTGAGCCCCTGGAAACTGCCACGCTCTGCTTGCTTGTATGATTTGATTAATTTAGACAATTCCTGTGGTGCAATGATTTGGCCTTTTGTGTCTGGCTTATTTTAGTAGAACAATGTCTTCTGGGTTCGTTCCTATTGGCACAGATGACAGATTTTCCTTTTTCTTTTTTTAAATAAGGGATGAATTGTATTCTACTATAGATAAATGTCATTGTTGGGGCGACTTCTTGTCAGCCATGGTGTATGCAGGTTATTCCTGTTCTTGGCTTTTGTGAATGGTGTGGCAATGAATGTGGATGTGCTTAACATTCCTTTAAGATTCTTATGCTGATTCTTTTGAATGAAATTTCAACGTGAGATTTCTGGATCACGTGACAGTCCTAAAAGCCTGGAAAACATACCGCTTGTTTCTCTGTGCTTGACTCATTTTGCTTAGCAGGATCATTTCCATTTATCACTGCAAGTGACCTGGATCTCACCAGTTTGGCTAGTCTAGCTGGTCGGCAAGCCCCAAGGATCCAGGTGTCTCCACCCTCCAGTGCTGGGTTACAGACTGACATGACCAGTTTTTACAGAGTGCTAGAGATCCAGGTTCTCACAGTTGTACAGCCCATGTTTTACCCTCCGAGACTTCATTCTCTTGCCTTTCCTTTATTTATTTATTTATTTATTCATTCATTCATTCATTCATTCATTCATTTATTCTGAGACAAGGTCTCACTCCGCATCCAGGCTGGCCTGGAATTCATGGTCCTCCTGCCTGGACCTCACAATGCTACAATTGCAGTTCTGTGTTTCCACATCCAGCCCTTTCTTTCTTTTTGATGCATTTTAAATTAAGTTGCATTACCAGTTGCCTTTGCCCATAATACTTTGACATGTAGATTATTAACTAGAAAAGTTTGTTCACAGTTATTTTCAGGCTTACAATAGAAAATGCGTAAGTATTTATTCAGTGAGTCTTGACAAGCATAACTCATATCCTTTTCAATATAGAGGCACGTGGCTGGATGTGGTGGAACACACCAGTAATGCCAGAGCACAGGAGGTAGAGTAGGGAAAGGTCACGTTTAAGGCCCTCTTGGGCTGTCTAGCAAGTTCAAGGCAAGCTTGAGCCATATATCCAGATCTTGCTACAGACCTTCCAAACCTCAATCCCTCCCAAAGAAAACCTCAAACAATATAGAACATCCCCTCCCCAACCAGTTCCTATCCTACCTCCTACCCTAGAAACAACCCACAGTGCTGATTATCTCCTCTCAGATGGGCCCAGTCTCTAGAGCAATGTTTCTCAACCTGTGGGTCGTGACCCTTTGGCAGTCCCACGATCCTTTCACAGGGGTTGCCTATGACCATCAGAAAACACAGATCTTTATATTATAATTCACAACAGCAGCAAGATTACAGTTATGAAGTAGCACCGAAAATAATGTTATGGTTCGGGGTCTCCACAGCATGAAGAACTGTATTAAAGGGTCGCAGCATTAGGAAGGTTGAGAACCAGTGCTCTAGACAGGACTGAGGAACATTTGTTTCTCCGACTTTGCTGCCGTGGGGCCTTGCCACAGTTTACACATATTGACGCCACGCTCTCTTTTATTGGTACAGCTGTTTTCTGTGTAAATGGGTCCGTAGGTTGTGGTTGTAGCTTTGTTTTTATTACAGAGGTTCTACATGTCTGCTAAGTAACTTTCTATGTAAAGCAAACAGTGGAAGCCCTGGTCCCTCACTCCACTGACACCACAGCTCACGTTGAGAGGAAAGCAAGGCCAAGGAAAGAGCACTTAAAAAGTTGATTTTATTTCAGAGTTTCATGCTTTCATAATGTGTTCGATCAAATCCACCTCTGTTCCTTCCCCCCAACTCCTCTTCTCTCCCCCATACCGCCTTCCCTCCCAACTTCATGTGTTCTTTTAAAAACATGTATTTTATCTTACGCAGATGGATGTTTTGTCTGCATGTGGTATGTCTGTGCACTGCTGTGCCCAATGACTCGAGTGTAAATGGACTTTTCTTTTTGGGCTGCCGGTTCACAAAAAAAAAATGACATGGAGACTTATTATTAATTATAAAAGCTTGGCCCTAGCTTGGGCTTGTTCCTAACTCGCTCTTATATCTTAAATTAATCCATATTTTTAATCTGTGTTCTTCCACGCGCTCATTACCTCATCTGCATTTGCCATCCTGGTTATTGTGAGTCTGGCTGGTGACTCTGTCTTTCTTCTTCCCAGAGCTCCCTCTTTCCGGAAGTCCTGCCTATACCTCCTGCTTAGTTATTGGGTGTTCAGCTTTTTATTAAACCAATCACAGTGGCACGTCTTCACACAGCATAAAGGAATATTTCCCAGCACCTGAGGAGGCCGGATGGTGGCATCGGATCCCCTGGAATTATAGTTACTGTGGGTCCTCTGGGAGAGTCATCTCTCCAGTTCTGTGTGCCCCCTGGGGCACAAACCCTACTAAGTGCTGCCAATGTGTCCAGAGCCTGGGGAGCTTCTTGGGAGCTGTGTGCCTGGTGAATACTGAAGGCGGGGTACTTTATATGTGCACACGTGTGTGTTTACCCACAGTTTGTGGTTTAAAGAAAACACAAAATGGATTGTGTTATTTTCGTTGTTGTTGTTTATATTTTTTCTCATATGATGGAAAGTAGAGGTGATAAGTAGGGGAATAGCTAATAAGCCAGGACCTCCAACCTGGCACATTGTAGCTAATTTCAAAGGGAACATCGTCCCAGAGAAACAGTGCATGGGGTACTGGGAACGTGGCTCATTGTTACAGTATCTGCTTGCTGGGCCGCTGGCAGCTAACACACACCCTTTTCTTTCCCTCCTCCTGAAGCGTTTACCTTAATTGTTCTAGCATTAAAAACAACTTGGGAGTCAGAAATTGAGATAAAAATCTGATAAATCCAAGGAACAGCAGAGGGACTCAGCTGACCCTACTCTCCATGTTTTCCTGATCCCCAAACCTGTGAAACCTCCCTCAAGCCCCTCCTCTCTTCCTGTCACTCTCTCTCTGACTTCCTCGGTCCTCCAACATCTCTATGGCTAATTTTGGTCAGCCAATCACTGACTCCAATAAAGCTACTTCAGGGTGGCTTTATTAGCACAGTGGAGTGGCAATGCGAACAATTCTCCTGCCACATCCCCCTCCTTCTCCTTCTTTCGAGACAGGGTTTCTCTCTGTAGTCCTGGCTGTCCTAGAACTCACTTTGTAGACCAGGCTAGCCTCAAACTCACAGAGATCTGTCTGCCTCTGCTTCCTGAATATTGGGATTAAGGTGTGATCCACTATGCCTGGCCTTTTTAGAGATGTGTGTATGTGTATGCGCATGTGCCTCTGTGTGTGTGTGTGTGTATGTGTGCTTCCCTGACACACAGATCTCATGATGGATTTTTATGTATGAGCAAGCACAGCTAGACTGAGATATCAATCACTGGACTGGCATTTCGGCTCGGCAGGGAAATGAACTCGGCAGCCTGAGTTCAGTCCCCAGAACCCGTGGTGGCCGGGGAGAGCTGACTCCTTCAAGTTGTCCTTTCACCTCGACACACACGCTGTGGCACGCATGCTCACGAGACTAGACAAGCAGGTGTAATAAAATAGAGAGAGTGTCAGACATTCCCAGCAGGCCACACTTCCTTATTCTTCCTGTGAGGTGGTAAAAGCCCATTTTTCTCTTTGCGGTGCTTGTGCGTGGTAAGTGCACGCCACCTCCAAGCTATAGCCTTAGCTCCAGTGGGATCCTTTTAAATATGGTAAAATACACGTGACCTAAATTTTACGGTCTTAACCATTTTAAATGTGCAGTTCCTTGCATTAAGTATTTGACAAAAAGGACTTAAAGTCTTCAAAAACAGTTTGTTTTCTTCGTTATTAATCTTATATGTAGTTTGAAGAGTCAAAATAGTTCTAAAAGCCTCATCAAGGAAAATATGGTTTAGTGGGTAAAGGCCCTTGCTTCCAAGTCTGTTGACCTAACTTTCATCCTCAGGACCCACAGGGTGGAAGAGGAGAGCGCTCAAGCTGACCTCTGACCTCCACACACACCTTGGGGCTTGCACATGCGCTACCTCCCCGTAAACAAACAAATGTAAAAAAAAAAAAAAGACAAAAATCTCATTTCCCCTATGATTTCTGTCCTCTCTCTTAAGAGCGCCACGTTCAGCTCTTCAGTCACTCACCATATTCTCCACATGACAGGATCGTTTTTCCAAATTTTAAGTAAAAAAAATAGAAAGAGTTAATTTGCACACAGTATTCGTGTGCTCATAAGTCATGGCATGTGTGACGTTGGCTCAGGTGGCTGGCATTGCCCTCACCATAAATTAAATATTCACAGCTTCTGTACTGGGAAACGTCAGACTCTTGGAATTATTTGGAAATTTATCATGGCTTTGTTGTAACTGTAGCTGCGGTACTGAGGACCAAACCCCCTTGATTGACTCTGCAGCTCCCGTTTCCCACCCTCTACCTGCCATCGCTCCTCCGCATTTCAGTGTTAGTGGCCACAGCTCCACTCTGTTCTTTCCCTTTTTTTTTTTTTTAAAGATTTATTTATTTTATGTGCATCGGGGGTTTGCCTGCACGTGTGTTTGTGCAAGGGTGCCAGATCCTCTGGAACCGGAGTTACAGACAGTTGTGAGCTGCCATGTGGATGCTGAGAATTGAAGCCGGGTCCTCTGGAAGAGCAGCGAGTGCTCTGAACCGCTGAGCCATCTCTCCAGCCCTGGTCTTTCTGTAAATACATAACGACAGGCGGAATTAGTCTTTCTGCACCTGGCTCATTCGACTTAGCCTGATTTCCTTCACTGCCACAACAGACAGGACTCCATTCTTTAGGTGGCAGGGTAATATTCCACTGCACATCTGTCTGACACAAACAATGGGCACGTGTCAGAACATACATTCTTTCAAAAGAAGTCCAACATGTGTGCAAGTGTATGAAAAACGTTCGGTTATTGTGAGTGAGAACCCAGTGAGCTTCTGCAGACTTACAGTGCTCACCATCCTAGGGGGAAACATCAGAGATGCTGGTGAAGGCGTCGGGGAAGTAAAGCCTCCCAGCTTCAGTGTTTCACAGTTTTATTTACTACTGTCCTGTGAGTGTGACACACGTTTGTGAGGGCAGGTGCACTTGGAGGTCGGAGGATAGCTTTCGGGAGTAGTTCTTGGCTCCCACAGTGGGTTACAGGATCAAACACAGGCCAAAAGGCTTGCAGGGCAAGTGCCTTTACCTGCTGAGGGCCTTGCTGGCCCCACACTGCTGGATTCTGTTTAGCACTGGCTTCCCACTGTTGAGGGTGTAACAGTGCGAACTTCCAGTTCCTTCTTTCTCCTCTACGGCCACACCTACTTCTTGTTTTCATTTGAGAATTTGGGGGCTGGCGAGAGGGCTCAGCAGGTAAAGGCCCTTGCTACCAAACCTGATGACCTGAGTTTGCTCCTGGGACCCACATGATGGAAGGAGAGAACCGATTCCTGAAAAGTTGACCTCTGACCTTCAACATGAGCACTGTTGGTGTGGGAATGCCCCTGCCTCAAGGAAGATAAATGTAATAAAAGTGATAGCTTTGGTTAGATCAATATTCAATGTTTGTATTTTTCTGACCATATAAATAAGATCCGGATGGGAGAAATAGTGTATTTTTTTTTTTTAAATTTCTTTCCCGTAAAACTTTTAGCTTTCTTTAGGAAACTCAGATTAATCCAGGAAAACTTTGGGTATTGTTTGGAGATCGTGACTTAAACAGTTCCTTAATAAGTTTTGAGTCATCTGAATTCCTTGGAAAGTATGGGTGGTAAAGAAGAGAGTCTCTGCCTTGGGCGACTGAATCACACCTTTCCCGGCTTTCTTTCTTGCCCTCAGCGGATCACGGGCGCCCGCTTCTCCCCCAGACTCCAGCACTTCGGTCAGTCTCTGAGTGGGGGCAGGGACCTCACAATGGACGGCCTGACAGACCTGGCTGTTGGGGCGCAGGGGTCCCTCCTGCTGCTCAGGTGAGAACCCTCTGGTCATACCAGCTCTTCCCCTTTGGAATACCTCTGCCATCTGGCAGTTCCTGATGGATCTCTGGTGTCCCTCTAGAGCCCAGCCTGTGGTAAGACTTGAGGCAATCCTGGAATTCACTCCCAAGATTCTGTCAAGGAGTGTGTTTGAATGTCGAAACCAAATGTCAGGAAACAGGGATGCCGGGGAGGTCAGAGTCTGCCTCCGCGTGCACAAAGTCACCAGGGATCGGCTTCGAGAAGGTGAGAGGTGCTGGGTGAACCTCCGGATTTCCGTGCCAGTGTCTCATCTCGGTCTGCCCAGTCTTCCAGCAGAAGAAAGTTCTGGCTGGTGCTGACCGCCTTTTAAAGCCTGGCTAGAATGAGTGGGGAAGCTCACCAAACCTTACCAGAGAGGTGACTGGGTGGCACTTCTTTCTGCATTGTGTCCGCTGCGCAGAGAGCCAGGACCCCCATGTCTGTGAACAAATTAGGTTCTGCTTGTTTGTTTGTTTCTTTCCTTCTTTTAGTCTTTTTTTCTCTTTTTTTAAAGTGTGAGAATCTTTCATACATTTGTGTTTTTACCATGTCTATTTTGTATGTTTAAAATTTACATAGATTGACGTACTCTATGTATCCACCTGAAACTCCGTGCTTTTACTTAACTCAATGATAATGATAGTAAATTATTTTTTCAAAGCAAAGTTTCATGTAGTCACAGCTGACCTTCGTTATATGCCTAGGAAGATGACCTCTACCTCCCAAGTGCTGGGACTGCAGAGTATACTACCTCAGCTAGTTTTATGTTGTGCTGGGGACTGAACTCAGAACTCTGTGTATGCTAGGCAAGCACTTCACCACTGAGCGACATCCCCAACTTAACATTTTTATTATTATCTACCCCCAATTTTTTTTTTTTGTGTGTGACAGGTCTCATTGTGTCCCAAAATTGTTTTTAAATGACTATTTTAAACATACAAAACTAGAGATCAAGTGCCGGGTGGTGGTGGCGCATGCCTTTAGTCCCAGCACTCGGGAGGCAAAGGCAGACAAATCTCTGATTTCGAGGCCAGCCTGGGCTACAGAGTGAATTCCAGGAAAGGCTCCAAAGCTACACAGAGAAGCCCTGTTTTGAAAACAAACAAACAAACAAACAAACAAACAAACACCCCTAGAGATCAACATATTGCATTCTTAGACAAGTTTTACAGCTTTTCTAAACACGCTTCATTCTGTTCTTTTTATTTTTCTTTTCTTTGCCAAGGAATCTTTAAAAAACTACTTTAAAGAAAGACTTATTAAATTTTTAATTAATTTTGTGTATGTCTCTTCAATTATGTATGTGTCTCTGTGTAGATATGTGCACAGGAATGTGGGTACCCTCAGTCCAGATGAGGGTGTTGGATCCCTGGAGCTTGGAGTTTACAGGCAGTTGTGAGCTGCTTGACATGGATGCTGGGGCCAGAACCCCAGTCCTCGGATAGAGCAGTGTGTGCTCATAACCACCAAGCCACCTCCCCAGCCTCTTAAAGCACTTGTGTTTGTTTGTTTGTTTTGTTTTTGCTATGTAGAACATGCTGGTCTGGATCTCACAGAGATCCCCCTGCCTCTGCCTCCCCCATACTGGGAATAAAGGTGTGCACCACCACATCTGGCTTAAATGACTTTGAAATTTTTAAAATATAAATTTGATTTATTTATTCACACATTTACATGTGAGGTTTGGTAGCAGACACCTTTACCCACTGAGCCATCTTGCCAGTCCATTCCAAGAATGTTAAGACAAACATAAAAATCCTACCATTTTACTTCCTCAGCCCATGAACATTGAAATAGGAACATTTTCTTTTGAAGCCATGACATCATTATGTTATGCTTCGACTCTAACGCACAATAAATACTTGCTAATATAAAGCAATTTATTTAAAAAAATCAATTTTTTGTCCCGCAAACGTGAGCTGTCCTTCCTTCTTACAGCAGGATCTGAATAAGATGTGCCTTTTGCTGTCTAGTGTCTGTTTCAATTATTTCTTTACTTCCTGACATCATCTACGTGTTTAGTGTGGTCCTTTTACAATTTCATACGTGTATACAGTGTATTTTGGTTAGATTCACCTGTATCACTCTTACTTGCCCCCTGAACTCCTTATTTTCCCACCTAGTCCCTGGGCTATGTTCATATCATTTCTATTTTTTGTGACCCACTGAATCTGATGCTTGCGTGAGCATGAATGGGAAGCTGTTTATTGGAGACTGGAGCAGCTTAGCAGAGGCTACCCCACTGAGAATGACTACCTCTCCCTGTTAACTGCCAATAGCACCTCATGGAAGAGTGGAACCCCATGAGCCCCTCTCCCATCTGTGACAGAATGCTGTGTAGGCCTTGTGCAGGTAACCATTGCCGATGCGGGTTCATGATTGCAGTGGCCCTGCCATATCCGGAAGACTGCTTCACACTACTCCCCAACCCTTCAGCTCTTACATTCTTTCCACCTCTTCTTTCTTGAAGTTTCCTTGGTCCTGGGGGCAAGTGATATAGATGTCCAATATAATTGTTTTTTTTAATTTTAAAAAGTAATATTTTAATTAATTTTTTTGAGAATTTCATACAATGTATTTTGATCATATTCACCCCTTTTTCCCAACTTCTTTCAGGCACACCCCATCTCCTTATCCACTCAACTTTGTGTCCTTTTAAAAAAAATCCATTCAGTCTATTTGTGTTGCCCATATACTCTTGGGAAATGGGCCATCCCCAGGTTGGTTGACCTCCTAGGGGTTGCACCCTCAAAGAAAACTGACTTTCCCTCTGCCAGCAATTGCCAGTTGTTCCTCAGCTAAGAGTGGGACTTCCTGCTGTTTCCTACTCCGTGCTGGCATTTTGTCTGGCCTCCGCTTGTGCGAATTTTGTGCATCTTATCACAATCACTGTGAGTTCATTTACCAACTGCCTTATTGTCCCTGAAAAAACCAGTTTCCCTGTGGTCATCGCCAGTCCAGATCCAAACCATGCTCCAGATCCACAGGAATAAAAACGCATGGTCCTGGCATAAAACAGACACACTGTTCAATGGAGGAGAATTGAGCACATGCACATAAACCCACATTTGCACAGTCACGTGATTTCTTTATATATATATATATATATATATATATATATATATATATATATATATATATATATTTGAGCTGAGGATCGAACCTAGGGCCTTGCACTTGCTAGGCAAGCGCTCTACCACTGAGCTAAATCCTCAACCCTTATTTTATTTTTTAACAAAGAGGCCAACAAATGCACATCAGAGGAAAGCTAGCATCTACAACAAATGGTGCTGACCTACCAGACTGCTACATGTAGAAGGATGGGAATGGATCCTTATTTCTGATCCTGCACTCAACACAACATCAAGTGGATCAAGAATGTCAATATAAGACCAACATAGTTTTAGTTTTTTTAGCTTACGTTATTAACCTTCCTTTAGAGCATTTTCATACATACTTATTTTCGGTTGCCTCCCCATCTCCATTTCTAACCCCACATAAACCCTTTCGCCCTCCAGCATTCTTCCTGTCCTTTCACATCCCATGGGTTCCATTACCCTCATGGCTCCTCTCCCTTAACGCCTCCTTTCTCTTCTCATGGTGCCCTCTGTTCTGTCCTCTCCACACACACCCTCTCGTCAGAAATGAGATCGTGTTAGAAATCAGAAGCTAGGATCCACATTTGGTCTCTGTCGTTCTGAGTCAGCACTAGCTCACTTAGTATAGTAGTTTCCAGTTTCGTCCATTTCCAGACAGATTCATTTCCAAACGAGAGAGAATTGACTTGGGAGATTGAACTGATCAAGTTAAACACGTTCTTTTGTTGCCAATGGCCTGACTTCTTCCCTGTCCCCATTTTAAAAGAGTAGGGTTGTGCTTCGGCGGGAGAATAGCAATGACTGACCCAGAGAGAAACAGGAAGAGGAGAAAAGATGTGTCTTCAGCTTCATTCCTACTGGTCCAGAGGTCAGAAGAGCCAGCTTGGCTAGAACTAGAAACATTTTGGAGATCAGGAAACAGTAGGGAGAAGGAATGAACTCTATGTAGAAATTCTTCTCGAGTCATTTACTCCCAAGCTGTGAATGCCTAGCTTAGTGTATCAGAGACAAACCAGCAAATAACAGGACAAACCAAACCAAAACCAAAAAATTTGGAAAGAAACATAAATAGCTTTCTAATACCTTACAGAGTAGCCACCACCCCATCCTCACCCCCCACCCCAAGGCAGGGTTTCTCTGTGCTACAGCTCTGGCTGTCCTGGGACTCCAGACTAGACCATGCTGGCCTCGAACTCACAGAGATCTGCATGCCTTTGCCTCTCAAGTGCTGGGATTAAAGGTGTGCAAGACCACTGCCGCTTGGCGTTGCACCATATTATCTTTTTTTCTTTTCTTCTTCTTCTTTTCTGGAGCTGAGGACCAAACGCAGGGCCTTGCATTTGCGAGGCAAGCTTGCTCTACCGGTGGGCGAAATTCCCAACCCCTAGCCACCACTTTTGGAGGACTTGCTTAGTGGGTGCTCCTCATTTCTCCTTTGTAACCACTTGAGAGGCATTATTAATTACTATTCTTACTTTGAAGGTCATGAATTAAGACACTGAGAGGCCATATGCTATGTGGATCATCACACACTTGGGAGCAGAGCTGTGGTCACAGACCCCCGTCTGCCTGTTTTCTCACCACTAATCCCTCTCCTTTCAGGAGATATCCAGAGCACTGTCACTTACGACCTGGCTTTAGACCCTGGCAGCACAATTGTCCGTGCCATCTTTGAGGAGACAAAGAACAACACACGCAGGACCACCCGGGTCTTTGGATTGACACAGAAATGTGAAACCCTGAAGCTGCAGTTACCGGTGAGCAGGCAAATGGTAGAACTCCTGGCTGAGGATGGGGTGGTCTTGGGAAGCTGAAGAAGACAGATCCCCAAATTCCCACTATCTCTTAGAACTGCGTGGAGGAGTCAGCGAATCCGATCTTCCTGCGCCTCAACTATACACTGATGGGGGAGCCCTTGCGCACCTCTAGGGACCTCCGGCCAGTTCTGGCTGTAGATGCTCAAAGGTTCTTCACAGCTATGGTGAGTTCTGGAGTTGGGGCCTTGCAGGAGCAGAGACTAGAACAGAAGGAGCCTGCTGAAGCATTTTTATTTTATGTAATTTCATTTAAACATTTTATTTTATTGCTCCACTAAATCTTTTCCATTCCTTTCCTTTGGGTCACATTCCGTTTCCAGCTTCCCTTTGAGAAGAATTGTGGCAATGACAGCATTTGCCAGGATGATCTCAGCATCACTATGAGTTTCATGGGGTGAGTTTCATTCTGTTATTGCTTCACTCAAACCTGAACCAATGTGTTCCTGGTCTCTGAGGGAGCCCAGCCTTCCTCAGAGATATTTGTGTACCACAAGGATCCTAGTGCCTGCTCTGGTCACGTTCCTGTTTAAGGACCTGCAGCCTTTCCTCATCAAAGCAGACTTGCTGCAGTGATGCCCTTGATACCTCATGGTCTTGTTATTGTCACAGCCAGGACACCCTGGTGGTGGGAGACCCTCGGGACTTCAACGTGAGGGTGACTGTGAGAAATGACGGTGAAGACTCCTATGGAACCCGGGCTACCATCTACTACCCATCTGGCTTGTCTTACCGGAAGGTGTCAGTGAACCAGGTAGCCAATTCCTCTTCAGTATCGGGGCTCTGCTTTCCTCACCCCCTATGGCTGGCAGTTGACAGTACATTTGCCTGTCTTGGTTCCAGAATCCGCTTACCCAGAAGTCTTGGCGGGTGAAGTCTGAGCCCATTTCTTCCACTGAAGGATACAGGGCTCTGAAGAGTACCACCTGGAACATAAACCACCCCATCTTTCCTGCTAACTCCGAGGTGAGCTCCAGCCTCTGATGCCCTCCTGTGCAGCAGGTATGTGCTAGTGTCTTAGGGGATCCTCTTCCTCTTGTCACTCCTCTCTGTCCTAAGAAAGAGGTGGCCCCTTTCTACAAACGAGCTTTATTGAGGCCTAAAAACATCCCATAAACTCACCCATTGTGTACACTTCAGTGGCTTTTGAGTATTCTCAGAGTTTTGCATCTATCACTCTGATCAATCTGAGACCTTGCTAAGCCCCTGGGGGCTCCTAATCGACCATCTCTGTGGATTCGCCTCTCCTGGATGTCTCCCACCCATAGACGCAGACAGCATGGTCCTCTGTGATTGGCTTCTTTCAATGAACATCACATTTTCAAGGATCACTTGCCTGTCAGTTCTTCTCTTTTTATTTCTGAACATTATTTTTATTATGTGGGCAAATCATGTTTTGATTTATCCCGTTCAGTGGTTGGTGAACAATTGTGCTGGTTTTTCTTTTCTTTCCTTTTTTTTTTTGGTTTTTGAGATCTTCACTATTTTAAATCACTGTCTCCGTTCTCCAACTCTAGGTCACCCTGACTATCACATTTGATGTGGACTCTGATGCTTCCCTGGGGAACAAACTGCTCCTCAAGGCCAATGTGACCAGGTACCTGTTCCCACATTGGGTGATCCACGGTCACCCTTCCTTCTGAGGCCCAGCCAGGATGAATCGTTTTCTTCTCTCTACTGGTTCTCTGTTTTGATGACTTATTCATTTAACAAACACTGGTTGAGCACCCACCCATGCCCGGCATTGTGTCAAGTGTTGAGGGGACAGTGGTGGATAAGACAGCTGTGGTTGCTGTCCTCACAGATGTTCAGTGGCACAGATAGGCAAGGTGATTACAATATAGTACAAAGAAAAATGATCAGGTGGTGGTAGTGGTAGGGATGCCCAGTGTTCTGAGAAGATTCCTGAAGAAAACATATTCAGGTTGTGAGTAAGCCAAGCAAAGGCATAAAGGTAGAAGGAAGCATGCGCCAGGCAAAACCTGGGGCTTGGAGGTGTCTGGGCATGCTTCAGAACAGCTTACGCAGGGCCCGTGAGATGGGTCGGTCGGTGAAGCCTAATGACCGTGTTCCATCTCTGCAACCTATATAAAGCTGGAAGGAGAGAACTGACTCTAGCGACTGTCCTCTACCCTGCAACGTGCTGTGGTGTGTGTGAACCCACCCACCACCTACAACTAATAAAAACAGAGACTGCTGAGGAGCATACCTGGTAAGGCTGCCAGAGCCTGGTGCCCCAGGTTCAGTCTCTGGAACCCACAGGGTGGAAGGAGTGAGCCAATTCCTATCAGTTGTTTTCTGACCTCCAAGTGTGTGTGGTGGTGTGTACACCCAAATACACACACACACACACACACACACACACACACACACACACACACACACACACACTGTAAAAAAAGTAAAAGGAAAAGAATAGCTTCAGCATATGGGTCAGGACTTGGAGAGTTGGTGGGAATGGGGTACGGCTGTGGCACTGGATGACTGAGGGGTGCTGATGGGGAGTTTGTAGTTTAGACTGTAGGAGAAACATGGCTGTATTTACTTGCATATTAGAAAGGCCACTTTTCAGGAGGGTGAGGCGAGGGCTGGGGAAGGGAACAGCCAGAAGGCTGCTGCAGCTGTTGGAATAAGTAGGGCCTGGTAAAGCAGAGGTAGAGAGAACCGTGGGGCTAAGGACGTGGGGATAATAGACATGGAGACAGATGGATCAGAGAGTGGTGGAGGGGAGAGGGAGAGGCTCATTCTCAGTTCTTAGAGCTGGCTAAGGACCTGCTTTCCTTTCAGTGAGAACAACATGTCCAGGACTCACAAAACGGAGTTTCAGTTGGAACTGCCCGTGAAGTATGCCATCTACATGGTTGTCACCAGGTGCTGCTCCTGATGACTCTCCCACTCTCCCCCCATCCGTCAGGCTGGACACAGCCAGCTTTGTGCTTGTGTTCATGAGCTGCCTTGTGTTGTGTGTATGCACACGTGCCTGCGTGGAGGAATGATGTGTGTGTGCCCAAACCCACACAGACATTGACCCCAAGGGCTACATTGTCACCTCCCTATTCTCTGTGTATTAAGTTCAAGCAGGACACCTTCATGTTCTGTAACCCACTGGATACTCCTTTTTCTTTTAGTGATGAGAGTTCTACCAAATATCTCAACTTCACGGCTTCAGAGATGACCAGTCAGGTCATACAACATCAGTACCAGGTGAGGAGCAGGAGAAGCCTGGGTCCTGAGGGATGCTGGGAAGGAAACTGATACGAAGAGAAGGCAGGAAGCAGTTGTAGGAATCATGAATACTGTGCTTCCTGTGTGTCAGACACAGTTCTAAGTTTGCTCCACACCCCAATATATGCACACACACACACACAAACATGCACACATACACACACTATACATGCACTCACACACAGATGCACATGCACACACACATACATGCATATATACACACATACACAGATGCACATGCACACACACATACATGCATATATACACACATACACAGATGCACATGCACACACACTCACACACATGCATGTACATACACACTCTCACACACATATGCACTCACACACAGATGCATACACGTGCACCCCCCCACACACACCCTCTATCAGGACCCTGAACACTCTTGCTGTCCTTTGTTTACAGATGGAGAAACTAAGTCAGAGAGACATGAACTATGTCTAAATTCTCACAACTGGCAAGTGGCAGGGCTAGAACTTAAGACGGGCCAGTCTGGCTCAAGTGTGTGTGTGCTGTCTGTTTACATGCTCCCATTTCCCTGAAGTGCAGGACACTGAGGCCTTATTCAGTGATCTTGGGCTGCAGGAAATGAGGAGCCAATGCTGAGGGCTAGCCGGGCCACAAGGCTACAGCCCTCACCACCTCCTTTCTGACATAGTTCAACAACCTGGGCCAGAGGAGCCCCCCCATCAGTGTGGTCTTCTGGATCCCTGTCCAGCTCAACAAGGTGACCATATGGGATCAGCCCCAGGTCATCTTCTCCCAGGTGAGTCCAGCTGGATCCCCAAAGTCCAGGTTTTTCTGAAGATCTGTTTCCCGCCTTTTCCGACTGTCCCTTGGGCCCAGGCTGTTGCCCTTCCGGGTGGGACCAGATCCCTCATTTCTCTCTTCCTGGTGTCTGTCTTTCCCCAGAATCTCTCAAGTGCCTGTCACACTGAGCAGAGATCCCCTTCTCGCTCCCAGTTCCGGGATGAGCTTGAGAAGACCCCAGTGCTGGTAAGGACGTGGTGGACTCCACCTCGAGGCCACATGCACGGGCATCATGGTCTGTCCCAGTCTTATTTAATCTGTCTCTTTGGCCCTCTCTTCTAGAACTGCTCTGTTGCAGTCTGTAAGAGAATTCAGTGTGACCTACCATCCTTCAACACCCAGGAAATGTTCAATGTCACCCTCAAGGGCAAACTGTCATTTGACTGGTATATCAAGGTATGTTGTGTTTTGAGGCTCTCTGGGTATAGCTGTAATAGTGCAGAGCCCAGGCCTGGCTCCCATTCTGCTCTCTCCACAGACTTCTCATGACCACCTCCTGCTTGTGAGCACTGCTGAGATCCTGTTTAATGATTCTGTGTTTGCCCTTCTTCCAGGGCAGGAGATGTTTGTGAAGTCCAAGGTACCCATCTCAGGCCTGGTGGGGTGAGGTGGTGGTGGGGATGCTGGAGGGAGCAGGAGGCTGGAAGGTAGATCTCATCTCTAGCTTGGTGAGAGAAGCAGGTGGACAGAGAAGTGAGGCCTGAAGTTGGTGCTGTGGATTGTAGGGAGGGGGTAGCCCTTGAGTTCAGGGAACTCTCCAGAAGTTTGGGGTATATTTTCCCTGCTGTACCCTCTTTCTCTTCTTCCTCCCCTAGATGGAGACCAAAGTGGAGCCATATGAAGTTCACAACCCTGTACCGCTGATTGTGGGCAGCTCCATTGGGGGGCTGGTGCTCCTGGCCGTCATCACTGCTGTCCTGTACAAGGTATTCCTTGATTCAGCCTCTTCCTGTCCCCTCCCCTGTAGATGTAATGGTCTTATTAAATAAGAAACACAGAGCCAAATGGAGAGTTAAAAGCCCAAGAAGTCAGAGCAGTAGCTGAGACCTGAGACTAAAACCGCCTTCTTACCCCTCGCTGCTGCTGCCGTCCTTCCCCTCAGAAAGAGACCTACTTCCTGTGTGTCTGTCTTTTTATTGACTTTCTGTTCTGCCTTCTCATTGGTTGTAAACCCAACCACATGACCTCCTCGTCGCTGCCTGTCTATAAAGACCTCCAGGTCTTCTATGGTTGGTATTGAGATTAAAGGTGTGTGTCTCCATGCTGGTGGTGTCCTTGAACACACAGAGATCTGCCTGTCATGTGATCGGGATTAAAGGTGTGTGTCATCACCACCCGGCTTCTGCTATGGCTTGCTATTAACTTTGACCCCCAGGCACTTTTATTTATTAACATACAAATAAAATCACATCTCAGCACAAATAAATTATCACCATACTCCCCCCTCCTCAGCAGCTCCATTATCAGGTTTGACTCTTAGTATTGCTGCTAGCTATATGACTTTGGGCCAGTCGGAGGCTCTCAACAGCTCAATTTCTTCCGTTGCAAAACAATACTATTAACGCCCATGTTACAAAGAAAATGAACTTTGTACATGTAGAGCGACTGGGATGGCCCCTGGCTTACAGTGACCACTATGTAAGGAGGGATTCTTCTCGTGTTTCATAGTTCTTTCCTAGCCCCAGCACTGATGCTGTTTCTCCCCCGCCTGACTCTCCCCAGGTCCTGTCTATTCTCCGCCCTGTCACTCTTTGTTGTCTGTCTCTCTCCTGTCCTGTCTGATCTTGACCTGCAGCCCTGGATTGTGTGGCCTTACCCTCTGTCTTTACCCTGACAGCTTGGCTTCTTCAAGCGGCAATACAAGGACATGATGAGTGAAGCTGCTCCCCAGGAAGCACCCCCACCTCAGTAATGGCCCTTTCTCCATGGAGTGACCTCCCCAGCAAGCAAGTCTGGTCAGATCAACACCCAGGTCCCGAGGCTGATGGACAGACATGTCCTCTAGGGGACTGTCGCAGTGATGCCTTATACAGGAATGGCTTGGGATGTGTGTGCGTGTGTGTGTGTGTGTGTGTGTGTGTGTGTGTATGTGTGTGTGTGTGTGTGTGTGTGTGTGTAATGGGCTCAGACATTTCTTGGATGTGGGCAATGCCTTGAAAGCATCCTCTTGGAGGGAAAGGAGTCTCTTGGGTTTCCTACTGTGTGAGGGCAGACACTAATGGACCCTTCTCTGGGCAAGGTGACAGGACCCTTATGGGTAAGCATAGTGAAAAGCTGTGGCTGTCTTCTCTGAAGGAAGTAATATTTCCTTTCATGGATGAGCTGCAGACTTGCAAGAGTCTAGGTACTGAGAATACAAGAGAAGCTGAACATGGAATAGAGAATGACCCAACAAAAATGTTCAACGAAGAATGAGAAGTCTCCCAGGACTGGAGAGATGGCTCAGTGGTTAAGAGCACTGGTTGCTCTTGCAGAAGACCTGGGTTCAATTCCCAGCACCCACACAACCATCTGTAACTCCATTCCCAGGAAATCTGAGAAATCTGCCACTACTTAGTCATTCATTATTAATTTAAATGTTTTAGTTGATTAACCTGTCCACAGTACAAAAATTAAAAGACACTCAAGAATGTGTGGTGAAAGGCTGGGGTGCAGCTCATGGCAGAGCACTTGTGTGGTATTTGCAAGGCCTTGGGCTCGGCTTGTAACTGAAAGTCAAGGCAAAGCAAAACAAACCAACCTGAAGAGTATATAGTGAAAAGACTCCCTCCTTAGGGGCATTCAAAGCTTCATGGTTGGCATCTACTTCAGAAAGATTGTAGGTGTGTGTGCACACACACACTCACACACACACACACACACACACACACAGTTTTAAACAACCGGTGACATAAGTTTTTACTATTATGCATCTTGTCTTTTTATTAATATGCTCAAATAATTTTATAATATATAAAATACCATAGCTGAGGAGTACTCCCCTGGTGGACTACATTGTAATGTATTTAATCTGTTTCCTTTGGATATATTATCTCCAACCTCTTGCTATTACAAACAATGCTGAATTAATAAATTGTATATACCTAATTTTTACATATGTAGAAGAATAATTTATTGATGTATTTATAGACATTTGCCTTCTATTTGAAGGGATCCCAAGATAAAAATTTTAGAGGAGCTGGGATGTGGTGGCGCATGCCTTTAATCCCAGCACTTGGGAGGCAGAGGCAGGCAGGTTTCTGTGAGTTTGAGGCCAGCCTGGTCTACAAAGTGAGTTCCAGGACAGCCAGGACTGTTATACAGAGAAACCCTGTCCTGAAAAACAAAACAAAACAAAACAAAACAAAAAATTAGAGAGGAATATGAGTTTGGTGGTACACACTTAACAATCCTTTCTACTCAGAAAAGCAGCAGCAACAAGATTGTGAGTTCAAGGTCAGCCTGGGCTACAGAGTGAGTTCAAGGCCAGCCCAAGTAACTTACCAAGACCTTTCTTTCTTTCTTTCTTTTTTTTTTTGGTTTTTCGAGACAGGGTTTCTCTGTGTAGCTTTGAGCCTTTCCTGGAACTCACTTGGTAGCCCAGGCTGGCCTTGAACTCACAGAGATCCGCCTGGCTCTGCCTCCCGAGTGCTGGGATTAAAGGCGTGCGCCACTACCGCCCGGCCCAAGACCTTTCTTAACAAAATAAATGGACAGAAATGGGGCTATAGCTTAGTGGTTGAGCATTTGCTTATCATGCACAAGGCCCTAGACTTTATCCTCAGCACCACTCCCCGAAGAATTCAAGTGAGAGAGGCATCCCACAAAATACCTCCAGCAGGAGGGAATTACCTGGGGAATGGAAGGCAGATGTCAACCAATGGGCATGCCCTGTGATTCTCCTGGAAGACAGTGAATAACACACACCTGAGTATCATCCAGGAGCAGAAGGAGCTGTGCATGCATCGTTTTCCATATGGTTATCAATTGAGGATATATAATACACACACACACACACACACACACACACACACACACACACACAACTGGAGGTGGAGCTTTCTGTCCCATATGCCCGATTACACCTGGCAGTTGCTGCTTCCCAAATTACCACTCAGAGGCTTATATTAATTATAAATTATGAGCCGGTAGCTCAGGCTTATTACTAGCAAGCTCTTACATTTAAATGAACCCATATTTCTTATCTATGCTTTGGTGGCTTGTTACCTCATGTTCTACATGTCTTGCTTCCTCAGTGGCTAGCTGGCATCTCCTGACTCCACCCTTCTCCTTCCCATCATTCTCAGTTTGGCTTTCTTGCCTAACTTCCTGCCCAGCTATTGGCCTGGCCTGTCAGCTTTTTATTAACCAATGAGAGTCATACATATTCAAAGTATAGAAAAGGATTGTTACACACACACACACACACACACACACACACACACACATATGTGGCCGGAGCTAGAGGTGCTTCCAGTTGGAAGCCTGAAGGAAGGGCACAGCTCCTAAGAGACCTGTGGGGATATGGCTGAGGCATTACCAGCTCTGTCTAGCAGGAACTCACACAGGCAAGCTTGATGACTACTTCTAGATGGCTCTCCATCCTCAAGGGGAACCCCAGTTCCCATCTCCTGCACCTTTGTGAATGCAGTGACCTCAGCCTTAGTCTTGGAAGCATCCTCTCTGATTTTACACTACTCTGGCTAAGTAAGTGGTTGCCACTTCCTATTTATTAATCTTTAAATTCCATTTATGGCTCCTGCCTCATCCTCCCCAGTAGTTGCAGCTGTGAATGCAAGCCATTTTGTCCAAATTGGCTGAATTTTTTTTTTGGTATGAAAGAAAAATATGAATTTTATAATGTTCATTGAGATACAAAAAGAAGGTCATGAGCTGGGTACCTGTTTCACCTGTTCCAGATGTGGTAGGAAGGGAGGGGCTTACTTCTTCTTGGGGAGACAGGGAGACGAAGAAAGTTGTGGTTGGTGTATACTTTGAGTGTGTCTTCCTTAGTTGACTTGCCAGGTACTAAGAGATGGAAACAGTCTTGCTATGGCGTCCTGATGTGGGGCCTTTGGAAGGTGATTAGCATTAGATAAGGTCATCAGGGTAGAGTTGCCTCAGTGGAATCCTGGTGGCTTCAGAGAAAGAGGGAGAGTTCTTTGGTGCAGACCCAGGTCTTCTAGTTCATTCATTACTGTCTCCAGACTCACTCTTATATAGTCGGACTTTGTTTGGACCACTAGTCCCCAAATAATGACACAGAGACTTCTCATTAATTATGAATGTTTGGCCTTAGGCTTGTTCCCAACTAGCTCTCATAACTTAAATTAACCTGTTTATATTCATCTACATTCTGCCACATGGTTCGTTATCTCTCCTCCATATTGTCATCCAACTTGCTCCATGTCTCGCTGGTGAATCCCATGGGCCTCAGATTCTTCCCTGACTTCCTCTCTCCAGAAGTCTCTCCTGTCCTCTCTTGCCTAGCTATTGGCCATTCAGCTCATTATTAAACCAATCAGAAGGTGCCTTTGCAGAGACATATCTCCATAATGTATGAAAAGATCATCCCACAACACTTAGTCCTACTGCCGTCTGCCTACACGAGCCCTCCTCCCACCACACCCTGATTCTTTAGAGATGCTGCCTCTTGGAGTGGACCCATGGTCTCCCTAACTCTTTACCACTGTCCCTCTCAGTCTTCCTATCCCATCTCCATTCCTTTGTGTCACCCACCAACCCACAGCCACCACACTTGCTTAGGATCCAACCTGGGCAACAGCAACCAAAGAACAGAAGACCCACACAACAAAGATGAGACCAGATATCTACACCAAGAAACACTTCAAACCTCCTAACTCCAGAAGCCCAGTGCAAAAACACAAACATGAACATCCAATACAATGAGTCTCCCCCAGAAGCCAGTGATCCTACCGTAATAGGTCCTGAGGAAAGCAATCTAGCTGAAGCACAAGACAGCTGCTGGGGGATTTTTGCTGGTGGGTAGAGGTCACAGTCTCCCACAGCCTGGCAGCTTTCTCTAAGCTCCACAACGTGGAAACCTGCTCCCTCCCCAACAAAGCTTCCTGCTCTCTACCTGCCCTTACCTGGAGGATGTCCCTGGGCCTGGTGGACTGACCTTATATGAAAGCTGTCTCTAAACAAGATGCCTGTCTCTAAAACCAGATGCCTGACTTATCTTTAGCTGGAACCCTGATACAAATCCCTGCTAGAAGGCTCCCTTGCTGGACATACTAGGAGCTTTATGACAGGAGCATGTCTCTTAATGCAGACTAGGTGATGTCCCTGCTCCTGTCCCCAGCCTTTAAAGTGGAGTTGTAACACTTAATGGTCACTTAACGTGGACCCTGCTCACTTGTTTTGGCTCCCTCCCGTCTCGAGGACCTCCGCTGAGGATCCTGAGGAAGAAACTCGGAGCAAACCGCAGACAGTCACTTAAAGTAGCAACTATGTGTCTGTTCAAGGACCTTAAGAGGATGTGAGTGAATGTCTTAATGAAGTCTGTGAAAACACAAACAGTTGAATGAAACAATGAAAACATGCCAAGATATGAAAGTATAATTTGACAAAGAAACAGACTCACTATACAAAACCCAAACTGAAATAAAGCTGGAAATGAAAATGTCAAACAAAAACCTCAGAGGTAAGTCTCACCAACAGAGTACAAAACATGGAAGAGAGAATTCAGGCATTTAAGACAAGGTAAAAAGAATGGACACCTCATTTAAAAAATATTAAATCAAAAAATATTCAGGCACAAAACATCCAGGACATCTGGGACACTATGAAAAGACCAAATCTACACCTAAGAGAGCTAAAGGAAAGAGGAGAAACCCACGTTAAAGACACAGAATATTTTTCTAAAACAAAATCGTAGGAGAACATTTTCCCAACCTAAAGAAGGAGTATCCGTCAAGGTACAAGAAGGCTATGGAATACCAATTAGGACCAGAAAAAAATAATCCCCATGACACATAATAAAACACTACATGTACAGAACAAAGAAAGAATATTAAAAGCTGCAAGGGAAAAAGACCAAGTCACATGGCAGGCCCATTAGAATAACATCTTACTTTGACCACATATTAGGACATAAAACAAGTCTCAACAGATATTAAAAAATTGAAATAAAATGGTGCCTTGTGTCTGACCATCATATTAGTAACTTAAGGATGCACCTGAAAGCTCTAGAATAACGAAAAGAAATAACACAAAATTTTGTGTTTTGATTTGAAATATAATCAAACTCAGGGCTGATATCAATAAATAGAAACAAAAAAAATACAAAGAATCAAGGAAACAAAGAGTTCTTTGAGAAAATAAACAAGACTGACAGATCTTTAGCCAAATTAACCAAAAGATGCAGAGGAAAGATCCATATCTATAAATCTAGGGATAAAAGGAGGCATTACAACAGATGTGGAAGAAATCTGGCGCATCATAAGGACATACTTTAAAAATTGGTATCCCACCAACTTGGAAAATCTAAAAGAAATATATGAAGTTCTTGATGTATACAATCTACCAAAGTTAGATCAAGATCAATTAAGCAATTTAAACACTTATAACCCCTTATAAAATATAAGCTGTGAATAAAATCTCCCATTTTAAAAAAAAAGTCCAGGGCCAGATGGATCCAGTGCAAGATTCTACCAGATTTCAAGGGAGAATTAATGGCAATGCTATGCAGATCAGTCTTCAAAATAGAAGCTTCAAGAACATTTCCTAACTATTTTTACAAAATCGTTATTGCCCTGATACCAAAACTGCACAAAGACCCGACAAAAAGGAAATTATAGACCAATATCCCTATGAACACAGATTTTTTTCTCTTTTTTTTTCTGGAGCTGAGGACCAAACCCAGGGCCCATTGAGCTAAATCCCAACCCCACAGATTTTTTTTTTTGGGGGGGATGCCCTGGAACTCACTTTGTAGACCAGGTGGCCTTGAACTCACAGAGATCTGCCTGCCTCTGCCTCCTGAGTGCTGGGATCAAAGGTGTGCGCCACCACTGCCTGGCTGCAAAAATTCTTTTTTTTTTTTTTTAAATTTAAGAAAAATTTCCACTCATCCTACATATCAACCACAG